TTGTTGAACCTCATCAGGTTCCTCTCTGCCCAGCTTTCCAGCCTATCCAGGTCACGCTGAATGGCAGCACAGCCTTCTGGTGTATCTACCACACCTCCCAGTTTGGTGTCATCAGCAAACTTGCTGAGGGTGCATTCTAACTCTTCATCCCGGTCGTTGATGAAGAAGTTATGGGTAGAAGAAGGATGGGTAGATTGGCATCACTGCTGTGAAATCCCTGGCTCTTGCTTAGTCTGCAGGTGGAATTTCAGATGTTAGCTTCAGCTGACAAAATCCTAATGGTTAGCTGAGAGATGACCTCTCTCCTGGTGTGAAACTTCCACAACCAAGGGAGTCAAGGACTGTTGAATTAAACCCCTCAGAGATTTTTTCAGAAAGCATAACTTTCTAATTCAATATTTTCTCCTAAGGAGAAAAGCTGCCAAACTCACTTTCCATCTGTGGCCTATCAGCATCCAAATGGATGCTCGCAGGGTGCCTATGGAGTTAAACACCACTGCTGCCCATGTCTTCTGCAAGTGCGCTCCAAGGCAGTTGTTATAGTTACAGGGTACAGTGCTTTACATCCTAGAGGCATTTCAAGAATGTGCAGAAGTGTTGCTAATTTTAAGGCATCATCTGATTTTTAAATCTTTCTGAAAGATTAAGTTGCATTCCCTGGCAATCAGCATATACTAACATAGCCATGAGACACACATGCCTCAAGAATACTGAAGTTAAATTACAATTTGAAGGATTTTTTTTTTCACAGAGACATTCTTCAATGAGCATGTCCTTGCACAGCTGCAAGACTCCACTTACTACTACTTTGTACCAGCTGCTGTACAGTAAAATTCAATGTATTAGCATCAGAGCTACATCTGAATGAAAATTACAAGACATTCTGTATTTTAATTGTTTATAGTATACTTCACATTAAAAAAAAAAATAAGGAATTAGAAACAATTATGTAAGGGTGTTTTTCTCCTAGGCCCACAAAAATATTAACTATAGTAAAGCAGTCAATCTTCATGCAGCAAGAAAAAGAATCCCCAAATAAAAGTGATCGTTAGTCTTAAAAAGTGAACTAGCAGAATTTTTTAAGATGCCTGAAGAATCATTATCAATTACATCCCTTTAAGTTACAAACAACAGAGTTGTCATCAGGCTGCCTAATGAAGAGAGAAGTCTGGATAAATATGCTAACCATTCAGTGTTGGACACTATATTGTGCTGCATGGCTGAACTTTGCAGAATGATCTAACTGCAAAGCCTGTGAGCAGTCTTTCTTCAAATAAACACACATATATATGCATACACTCCTAAACAATAGGCATATACGCTTTCAAGACACTATTTCTGGAGAAAAGTCGGGGCCCTCTCCTCACCCTCTGTTCCTACTCACAGGGCACAAGCACTAAGCAGGTCTGGATGACTTGAAGTTTGCTGGCAGAGGAATCTCTTCATTATGTGGGAAGCAGCCTGTACTTCTGCTGACTTGTTAAATTTTCAGAACTTCCCAACTTAGGACAGAGAACATTAAGTGATAAATTCATAGCTCTGTGTTGCAATTTGATGGCAAGGTTTTTAATATATTCCTCTTTCCCACCAGTTTTCTGCTAGTATCTTTATCAAAAGCCAGGCTGCAGCAGAAAATATTTAAAGGGACACTCAAGTGTTTACACTTCCTGAATACATCAGCATATGGATGAAAGCATTTGCTGCTCACCACTGGAACATATAACTACAGTTGCAGACGCCTCCTCATCACACAATATTCCTGCAACGAGTGCAGTTCTCCCTGCAAGGCAAAGTGGGACGACAGGTGGAGGACAGGGATTGATGTACAAAATGGACAAATTCACTGTAGAAATCTAGTTGTGTTTGCCTCTGTATGCTGGGCACACCTTTCCTGCTGGTCCATCACTAATTACCTTATTGGTCTCTGACACCAGCAAGGTGTGAGGATAGAACATACCGGGGGTATGAAGAAGGAAGCCCAGTACGAAAGGAACCTGGATGGAAAACGCGATGGAAAATTTCAGAGGGAGAAAAACATAGCAAAGAAATACACTGAGGAGACAGTGCCAAGGTCAGAGCTGGATGGACAGACATGAGAGCAGGGTAAGATGGCACCAGATGTGCTGTGCACCATGGGCCAAGCCACAGTCAACAAATGCCAGGGACTCTCTAAAAGGACAAACTCTCCCTCCTGTGTGTGCCACAGGAAGATGAGGTGGGAGGAAGCAGCTCTGCCACCAGCTTATTCACCCCCTCCTCTCACCAGTCACCACACTTGGCAGCCTTCAGTCCTGAAAGACTATTTTGGCAACTGGGAACCGCCTCTGGAGGGACGATGGATGACTGAGCACAGGTTCATCAGCCAAGTCTTTGTGTGCATACTTGTGTGCATACTCCTTAACTTGGAGAAGTGCCCTGGGGTTGCTTTCCCCAACCTGGCTGTAATAGGATGACCTTGAGAAGCAGAGATCCTAACTTAATATCCAGTAACTGACAATAGTCATAAAACAAGACAGAACTTATAAACAACAGAAGTGAGGATGACAAAATGTATTTGAATATCCAAAAAGCAGTAGATAGGAAAGATAAGCAATAATGAATCAGAGATGACTGCATCCATCATGCAATAAAAAGACTGTGAGGAAGTTCAGAAGCAATACACTCTGAAACTGGTAATAGGAATTTTTCTCTTTGTAAGACAAATATTAACCAAGAAAGCTCTCTCACACAAGACAGTGCTTGAGGCTAAGACAGTAGCAAGACCTTTAAAAAGATGAATCCATGATATAATGTAAATACCGATCATAAAAGCAGAATGTTTTTACTTTGGTTTCTTTAAGAAATGCAGCTTATGTGTTCATGCCACTTGTCTGCACACATCAACACAGACATGCACACATTCCTCTCCTCTCACCAGTAGCTTGTAAATCTCTTCCAATTTTAGCTGTATTTGAGAGATAGAGGGATATTCAAGAGTTTTCTAAGTTTTGTGAAAGCTTGTGGCCACGTAGTAATGTTCCCACCAACCCAAAATCTGGAGCAGCACTTCACTCATTCCTAAAACATCAGAGAATATGCCAGAACAGCTTAAAGTCGTGGATCCATATGGGTTTTAGCTTACACTGGGCAGGAAGTATGTCTTTTGACAAAACCAGTGATGTGAATCCTTTTCCTTCAGTGCCCACTCTAACTACATCTCTTAAAAGAAGTTGTACATAAGTACATCCATTACTGATCTTCTGGTACTGGCCAGAGTCAGGGCAGAGATGGGATCCCAGCCTAGATGGACTGCTACTCTGACTCTTTATAGTACTGCCTCTGTATGTTTCTTCCAAGGATCTCTGGTTTAATTGGATTAGCTTTTCAAACTTTCTTCCATTTTCATCTGTCCGTAGGAGCCATTTCAGTATAACTTGAAAACTGCTCCCTTTTGCTGACTTGACCTTTAAGATGTTCACATGAACAACTTCTAAACCAGGATGCACGCATGGCTTGCTGGAAGCTTAGCAGCCCCAGGCACTTGCCTTGTCTGGAGAAATGTTCCTGAAAGTATCGTATCACGAATTTTATATCATTCAGGAAGCCCTAGTTTTACCTTTGCCACAAGTAAAGACAGAAATTGTCAGATGGGGATGTCTAAAGTTGCACGGCAAGCTCCCTCTTTATTCTGCTGTATAAAAGTAACCTATTTTCAGATACGGCCAGCATAAACAGCTAGTGCTGAAATCAGTAAGAATTGTGTATCATCAGCGGTTCTCAAAAATAGGCTTTTGTGGGAGGATCTAAACAGGATTTAGGGAAATCAACTCTGGAAACCAAGTTAGTTCATTTGGACAATGCTTTTCAGGTGTCATTGTTCGCTTGCTTTGTTTTCTAAAAGCATGTTTCTACTTCTATGTTTGGGAAGATAAGATTAAAAATTAAAGCCACTGAAACAGAACCAACAACAGCTTAAATGGGGGAGAGATTCACCCCTGGGGCAATGTATGGCCCACCACAGCTCTGCCATGCTGCTGCCTCTCAGCTTGGCACAGCACAGCACCACCTGCACCCATCTCCCTCTCCCCAGGGGCAGTGCTGGCACCCCGCAGTCAGAAGCACCACAGTGAAAGGCCATCACCTTCAAGTCCCAGAAACCTCAAGGGTGAGGCAGTTACAGGGGCCACTCCAGAGGAGTCTCTATGGGAAACAATGGATGTTCTTAGGGGCAGAGAAAAGGGAAGGAAAAAAAAATACGAAAAATTTACTATCTGTATTCCAGTTATTCTTCTGTGAAGGGGGAGGATCCCAGAATTTTACAGACCGCAATTCACCACCTAACTAATAGGGACACAGGAAAATAACAAAAAAATGTCTTAATGATTTATTAGCTTCTGTTATATCTTTCCGTGTCTGTCACAATCGCAGAAAAGGACTAAGTTAAAATATTAAATAAAGCAAGGCAATGTAAGCAAATAAAGTGAAGCAGTGTATGAGAGAGAAATTATTTGGATCCCTATGAAATGTTACTTTTCCTGTAGTGATTTTGACAATACTTAGGGATGGCTCAGGCAGTTACAGCTTGGCCTGCTTTCAGAATGTATCCAGTTCGCACAACACTAACGCAAACAGCTCACATTTGCTCAATAGCTCAATCCAGCTAGGATTTTTTAAATTATGAGCATTTTAGCAGTGCAAAACTCACCTAATACACAAACAAATGTATAAATAATTTCCTTCCTGAGATATAGCTTGGCATATTACTGCTGAAGAATCTTCCCTAAATACTTCTGAAAGAGTTAAAAGCATGCAAAATAATAATGTAGGAAACACCAAAATTGAAGTGTTTTAGACTGAAATAAAATAAAGATAATTTCATTTGTAATAGTTCCTAAAGCCTTTGCCTTTATAACTTTCTGATGTTGCCCCTTGTCCTGTTCTGTTGCCTCTGAAAAACAACAACAAAAAAAATTCAAGATACATATCCTTATGATCATGATACATATGAAAGGCCTTCTGATAAATTTATGGAATTGATTACAAAGAAATGACATATATGGTACTTGGCCTGTCAAAATTATGTATAGGGGTTTTTTTTCAAAATATTTGCAAAGAATTTCTTTTTCTAGTAATTCTTGCAGGAAGTACAGACCATGTGTTCTTAGAAAACTGACATACTTGTGTTTGTCAAGATCATCAGTACCAGAAATGAGCAATATTTTCACAAGAGGTTTATCCTACACTGAAAATCATGCATTTAAACCTGTGTGATGTGCATCGAACATATATTCTGCCAGAAAGGTATTTCACTGCTAAATGGCTACAGAGCATGTAAAGGCAGCTGTTTCATGCAATCCTTCCCATACAGTCAATAATATAGTTAGATTACAGAAAACTGAATCAAAATATATGACAGATAGCTTGGGACTTCTCACACACACTCCTTACAAATATTCTCTACAGTAACTAAACTCATCATTCTTATTTAAAAATAAGTACATCTTTAAAGTGTTCACTTACTCTGCTAAAGCTGTTGTGTTGAAGGAATTATCCTGAATGCTGAAACAGAAACAAGAAAACATCAGACAAGTCAGCAAGGCAGGCAGGCTCCTTGTATCCTTCTCAGTTGTAGGAACACATGCACAAACATGGCATTGCAAGGCAAGTCTCTGTGTGTTAGCTCTACATGCACGACTGTACCTTCAGCTGCTCTGCACATGCTCATAATCAAGGAACCATAGGGATTAGTCGTACAACATTCACAAAGCCCGTCCAGCAGCGCTTTGAATTAATAGAGGGATGCAGGTAGTCTGCAAGTCTCAGAAAGGGAACATATTCTTTTATAAATGTACCAGTGCTGCTAATAAAGGCTTAGGTTTACAAACAAGTATTTGGCATTCTGTCCTTTAAACATTTGCTCTGTGTAATCTGCTCATCAAACACAGTTTTTTCTGTTACTTAAATAGGGTTGCTCAGCTAAGATCTCTGGAGGATTTTTCTTCTTGTTTAGTGGTCTCTTACACACTCAGCTCATGGCCAAACCCCAGTGGAAGCTATGAAAAAATAGTCTGGCAGAAAGGACAGTTCAAGTAGCAGAAGGTTATTAAGCTAACAGCAAGCAATAGATGAAACCATTCCTATGAAAGGAACAGGCTGCTGTGCTCCGGCAACAAAATGTAGTGTAACTTGATGTAATACATTCAGTAGGGACCAACTCAGGATACCATAAACCGCTGGTTTGGAGGCAGCGGTGGAATTCCCCTTGAACAACACCTCTCAAAACCAGTAAATATGCTATTGGATCATCCTGAAATCTTACAGCAGCAGGAAAAAAAAAAATCTCACTGCTACATACCAGAGCTAGGATTTTTTTTGTTGATTTGTTTGGGTGGGGGAGGAGAAGGTAACGCCGACAGCAGCATCTTCTGAGCACTCCTGCTTGTGACAATGGCACCTGGCAGACGGCAGCACCACGCGGAGCAGGGACGCGTAGAGGTGCGGCGTCCTCTCCGCAGCCGCTTGTGCCGCTGCATGCTGTTGACACACATTTCCCAGGCTGCAGCAGCAGCCAGGAGCCCCAGCCCAGACAATTTCCCTGCTCTCACCAACAGTGCTAACAACGTATCTTATCTGCACCTCTTCCCAGCCTTGCTACCTGCTTGAACACACTATTTTGCTCTTTTCTTTCCCATATTTGTGTAAACATATCAATTTATATAATCGCGCAAATTACCTGGGAGTCAGAATATCACAGCCAGTCTGTAGGGACTTCTGCCCTACAGAGTAGTAGATTTTGTGAGAGAAGGGTGAACAGAAAAGCTAGATTTAATGGTTAGCATTTACATATTGCCTTAGACAGAACATTCCAAATTTTTTCTCCTCCTGTTTGCAGTTTCTTGGGTCTGACTATACTAATATAAATTTCTTCATTGTTTTTCTATTTGCAGGAGAGCACCTTAATAAAAGGTACGCTTCTAGCCATTGGGGCAATCAAAATCTCAATTTACATGCACAAAAAATAGAGGGCCATTTGAAAAAAATGATATTATTTTTAATAATTGTATTTCAGAATGCTTCAGTGCTCAGCTCTTGATTTTTAATGGTTAAAACTAGGTTTACAGCTAGCATTTCAAGTGTGTAATGGAGGAATCACAACTTTTAACCACAAGATCACATTGCTAAGCATCACAGCTTGGTTAGAGTGGAGCTTAAAGACAGACTATTTATCCCCACTTCCCTGCATACGCCCACTCAAGAAGGGGAGCAAACGCAGAATGCTCTTGTAAACATAACTTCTCCATTTCTACGTGCAAAAGTTAAGGTCAAGTTCTCTGCTAATTCATGCCCTGTGAAAACATACTGCAGAGCTTTGCTGCTGTTACTAGTAACAGAATATAACTGAAGATCAGTTTGTAAATCAGGGGTGCTTTAGAGTGAGACCAAGTTTAAAAAGTCACTACTTTTCCATTGTTTCTCTGAACGTCGGTGCTATACAGCTGTTGCTAAATCTCTTCTAGGCAAGAACTTCACATTTATTTCAGGTCACTCTCAGACTTCTGTTTGTTTTAAAGATGGTGCTTGACCAGTGTTATTGGACAGTGTCTTCTTGCAAGGTTGTGAAATCATTCAACAAAAACCAAATTTCATGTAAAACAGAACAATATTAATAAATACATGAAAGTAAAGTACATCTAAACCCAGGATCCTGTTTCAGAGCTAATCTCCTGATCAGATGGATGAAGCCATCCTGCTCCTGGGGGAACTTAGTGGAGGAACTATAGTTGACTCACAATAACTTCTCTTCTTTTCCTCACAGAAGGAAGTAACTTCTCCTTAGGGGCAAAAGCTTATTTCACCAACGCTGTTGGTTTGGGCCTATGGCCTGACCCCAGTTTCTTTCACCTGCTTCCTACTCACATGCTCTGGGTGAGACCAGAGCAGGCAAAGAGCCCCTGGCCTTACCACGCCTTACAGGGTAGAGCCAAAGATGGTTGCATCTGCATTTGTTTCCCTCTAAGTCCCAGGTGCAGGGAAAATATAATACTGCTGTTACCTCCTCATGTACAGCAGTGACTTTAAAGTCAATTGCACTTGTAATGCAATAAAACATCACTCTTCAAAACACTGAAATTCTCAGTGCCGGATATGTTTCATCACCACATTCAGATCACGTGTCAGGTCTTTCATCACCCTGAAGCCCCAATGAAAATAATGCTACACTTGTATGTGAAGTAAGCTTTGGACTTCACCACCGGGTAGCAGATATACTTTTAAAGAATCTGTATTTTGAAGTCATTAAAATACGTCTTTCTGAAATTCTGAAATAAAAGCTTTTAAAACAGTTTTTCCTTATTTATGCTGAACAGCTTAAGTGATTCATATTTTTGCAATACCATGTCTATGCAAAGACACTTTCCCTGTTAAAAAGCTTCCCATTTTACACCCAGTTTTGTTCTTATGCTCTTTTGCCAAATGTTGATCAAACGAATGTAAATATTACATGCCAGGCCTCTGCTGGAAACAAAAATGTCAGAGAACTCCAAAGCAAACATCTACATGTATTTTTGAAATACCATGATTCAGAAATACATTGCTGTTCACTTCTGAAAATTTCACTAATATATTGCTTATTTATGGCTGACAAATAGATTGGCATAGAAATCCCATTCTTTATTCGGTTTATATCATCAGAAGAATTACCTGTAGGTCAGGAGGAAGACTGAAAGAGGAATCACTTCTCCTCCACTCAGTTTTGCACATAATAGAGACATATGTTCAATATGATACATCCATAAGCTCAGAACAGCATTAATTGGCACTATAAACATGTATCAAGCAGTGAATGCTTTGCAAAGACAGTATGGTCAAGTTGCAGAAGACTGCAAAAGAAGAGAGAGGTAGTGAGACAAAAGTGGGCAGAAATAGTTCTGGCTTCAGGAGAACAGCAGAGAGTGAAACAATCAAAATCAAAAGGCCAGAAAAAAAGGAGGAGGAGTGAAGCTTGCCAAGATACAGTTGTCTACGTGGTCACAAACACACCCACACACAACCCCCTGCAGACTTTGTGGCAGCTTGGTTTCACCTTTAGAACAGAACCTGTGCCTCAATTTCCAGGATTTGCTTGTCTCAGTAAATGACTATGCTATCTTAAGAGACATTACTGACTCAGGTAAATGCTGAGGCCTTTCAGCGTTAACTACAGAATAACAAAGAATTTGTACTGGGAAATAAACTGTATGTTTAGAGGGAGAATTACAAACTTACAAAGAACTCGAAACTCTCTAAGGTTCTAGGAAGGTTAGTATTTCTGCATTTAATATCTACTATCCAATGACAAATTCAGTGCAATCCTGTAGGGTGTGATTAGCATTTATTGCAAGACTATTTTCTTTATTATTATTAGCTGTTCCACAGAGTGCAAAGAGCTTGTGCTGAAATTGCTGCATCGGAGGCAATTACACGTTGCACTATGGTTAGGCCATAAGAGGGAGCTGCAGTAGACGCTATGGAGGGACACAAGAGATGCAGTACAACACGCTGTGCGTGACGAGGAGCCCAAGTTGACTCCATCCAGCTCTGGGAAGAAGTTACTCATGTTCCACTACCCAAAAAAAGGGAAAATTGGAACGATCTCCCCCCTACTGCCTCTGTGGATGAAGTCACGTCATCCCTGCCAGAACCAGCTGAGCTCAGAGACTCATAAAAATACTGAGCAAATTTGTTTGCCTCGGAGTACGTATGTTCCTGCCAAGTAGCAATACCCTGAAGTGCTCCAACAGTCCTTCATCTCCCTCTCAGATTGTATCAACACAGAGATGCACTGTCCCACCTGTATGCATACACAGCACATGCTTTCATGGACAAAACTCACTCAGCTTTGCCAAGGAGCAGATTAAATATGCTTGCTTGTCACGTCACACTGCTACTTCTGAGGTCACATGACAGAACACTTTTATTTGAGCAGAAAACAAACTGAGGGAATGCAGTAATTCATCTCTGCCTTCAGCAAGTCCTTTCTCTTCCAGCACAGAGGACTTTTTTCTGGGATCACTCTGCAGCAAAATGTTAGCGCTGTGGATTGTTGCAGTGCCTTGTCCTTTCTTCAAAAGCGATCCTGCAGGACACTTTTGCTATTTTCCAAGCAGAAAGGCATAAAGCAAGGAGATGCCATGTGAGAGAGAAGTCACATGCCTCTTTCCTGTAGTGATAAATACTGAAGGCTACACTCTGCAGCTCAAAATATTCATGTGTTCACTGACTTACTTCCTTGACGTGCAGTCTGCCGTTTATGGGTAACATTTTCAGAGACATCAGAAAACATCTTAAGACAAATTAAACCAAAATACAGCAATTACGTGTAGGAGCCATTTGGTGAGCACTCAGTCCAGTTTCTATCCCTTTGATTTTCTCAGTGACCTAATTAACACATCATCTGAGTGAATGGACCTGGGGGGAAAAAAGCTTTCAGCTGATCTTGCTGTATGTCTTAAAATGCACAGACAATCTCATGCAGCAAGAGACTCCAGCTGAGCGTAGGTGCAGACACAGTTGTCATAATCCAGTCCAGGGCAATTCCATATAT